CCTGCGCCGCTCGCTTACAACACCGTACTGACTTAACAACCGTTAATTAGGAGCCCCGAGACATGCGATGCTCGTTGCGGATGTGCCTCATGTTTCCACTCTCGTCAGTGCACGGGGGAGGCAATTACGGGAGGCTGAACGTGCCATGGAAACCCACCACCTGGCTTGCCTAGGAGGAGAGACGCAGCGCGGGTGAGCAAGCCCCGACGCTCAGAGAGCCCGGGGGACCTCGGCCCCCTGCTAAGGGAACTGCCCGGAGCGGTTCCATCTGCTGCCGGTGGGACCAGACCCCGGAGGAATCTGGCCCTGCTCTGCCCCATGCTGATGGGGAGACATTTTACCAGCTAAACGGGAAGAAGAGGAGCTGGCCACCGGGGATGGGAACTAATTAATCTTTTATGGACCTCTGTCACCAGCAGCCATCCCATTCGGACCCCTGCGCGTGATGCTCACGCAGTCCACCTGCCCCTGCTTACCTGCCGTCCCAGTCCCCCAGCTCTGGGCACCTGGCTCGTCCTTTTTCTTTCACTTCTTTTGTCATTAAAGCCTTTTCACTGCTAATGGGACAAATAAAAAAGCCATTTGTCCCTCTTTATTACCCTGGGTGGGGAAGGGGAAAGAGAGGAGGCTCCCTCTGGCTTGAATGGTTAATTTATTTGTCTTGCACTAAATTCTCCAGTCTATTCTCTGTTGACCCATTGTCTGATGTATGACATATTAAAGCCTATATATAACAAAGCGAAGAGCTGTGTAATAGCATGATTAAAGAAATCTGCCATTCTGGCTGCATTTCCCCAACTGTCTGTAATAAAGATGTCAGAGCGCTGAACAGAGAGCGCCATAACTCCATGCGCGTGGAGACAGCCCGTCCAGCCTGAGGAGCCGTGGCAACAATAATAAAAATACATCTGAAGGAGAATCAATGTCAGCCGTAACAGGCCCCCAGAGCTGGACCCCTCATGCCACCCATAAGTCAGCAGCAAGAGCAGGCAGGCCGCTGCTCTCCTGGGTCAAAACCC